ACGTTCCGTTCCTTCTAGTTGACGCAATAATCACATTGGCGAGCACCTTGCTCTTCGATCATCTTGCGGACACTCCACCGTCTTTCTTGCGCTTTGATCGCCCACGCAACACGCTCATGCTGCACTCATCTTTGTGTAGCGAAAGGTTCCACTCGAGAAAAGCCGATCATTGAATCCTTATCCCAAGGATCACGTTTAAGGTGAGTCAGAGATCGACACCATGCCGTACATTTACGAGCAAGGAGCTGCCACACTGAAAGGCAGAGTTCACGTCGGGAATCGTTTTTGAGATTCCCACCCAGAATGAAGCTTTGCCCAACATGCACAGCACGTGGGACATTGTTGGGCCAAAAGACCTCGACAGGGAGTTGCAAGGGCACCAAATCCAGCTTGGTCGATGTAAACACCCAGAAGTGATCGTATTATGACAGTCCTATTGAAGCTGCACCATTCACAATAAAGCGTTAGGACGCTGACGAATAGTACGCTTATGCGGGAGACTCCAGACAATTACAGGCACAATCTCGCTCGAACCCCTTTCTTACCTTCTTTGAGCCTTATATTTCTCTACATTTGCTGACCTTCGCGTTTAATGCGCAATTTTGGCACATTCTGTATCCTGACTTCTGTTATTTCATTCAAGCCATGCACCCAGACAGAGCTCTGACCAACACTACCCAGCCCGAAAATTTTTTCCATTTCCAAGAGTGGAGAGAGATTACTCGCTATGATTCAGAAAGGCTTCTTCTCGAATCCTGGACACTGAAAACCAGCGCTTAGTCACACATTTTTACTTGGTTTTCCCAATGGAGTTGAACAGCGGCAAGTGCTGCCGGTGTTGATTATGTGAACAAAGCTCACGATGAAAATCCACTCCAAAATGTTTCAAGTCCAGGAAGTGCCCGATTGAATGGTGCCTGATAACGCTCAATAAGTCAAAGTACAGTAGGATACCAAATTACTGTAGTAGAACCAGCAAGCTTCCATTCAGCCATGACCGGAACACTTGCAAACCGTTCCAGTCGGACGCGCAGAGCAGGTGCGGCTGTCAAACTGCTGCTAAAGTCTCTGAGCGCTGTTTTTTTGGTTCCTTGTTGAATTCACTTTGAACTTTGGTTCTATTGTGATGCTATGTTTACAAAAAAAAGCGGTTTTGTACAGTAGTTCCAAGTGTAATTCATCACAATCTGCAACAAGGCCATCGATCTTCTGGCGTAATGCCAGTTTTATGTCCAGCTTCTTCCATTCTTTCGTCCTCGACACAGAATACTGTAGGGTTCTCGTGATCGACGGTCTTTGGTTCCATCAAACAGCTGATTCTCTTCTTCTAGCAAGTAAGGAGGTTGCTATCGCCCAGTCATTACGTGGGCTTCGAAATATGTCATATTTCCAGGCAGAGTCCAAAAATGTTGAAAGGACTAACGAGCTATACAGATAGTGAGAGACATCAGTTCCGTGGTAGATTCTGAACAGCTGGCTCTAATATTTTTCCACTCTGGCCCGTGGGTACCAATTCTTAGCTAATTGAAGGCCTGCAACCGATTCCTAAAGAGTTTTTTCCCTGAAAATGACTGACAGGCACCTTTGGTATGCGTCCAAGTGGGAATACTGTCTGAAAGAAAAGATGCCTATGGCGTCACTACATTCCCGTTTCACCCCTTTCCTTCCTTCATCTCCAAGTTGTAGATGGATAGCTGGGCGCTGAGATGGATAGTAGGGCGTTAGGTGTGTAGGGACCCTATGGGCGAGGCCCTACACCACAACCTGTGACCGTCATGTGGCTTGGTTGGTGTACTCGAGGTGAAGAAGGTTTCATGTTCTTTAGTTTTCTGCAAAAGACTTTCCACCGATGACGTTGTTTGGCCAACTTGTGACCATGATGGTTGTGGTTACAGCAGTCACACTTACAAGTTACCTCACACTTTCTATTTGAGTTTATGCTCAAAGGATTGTTTACAGACTAGTCCGTGTTGTCAAAACTCATCGCAATCGAAGCAGCACAGGACATGGGCACTGGGCAGTCATGAACGGTCACAAATTGTCCCAAGCATTTTTCATGAGGAATCGGGAGCGGGCATGTTTGCCTTATCCTTCTGAGAATTCCATTCAATTGACTCAATTGAAACTATCCTTCTGATCCTGAAAATATAG